ATATAACATCTACTTTTTATGCATTCATGCATGCTTTTTATGCATTATGATTAATTTTCGTGTTCCTTAAATTTGAATTCGATTGTGAATTTCTTTAGCGATATTTTATAGATCTTTCAAAAGTCGATGTTGATTGACAACGTATACCGTCGATTTTAAAAAACAACATGTTCTTTATCCCAGTATGGTCGCGTAGCGCGAAGAAAATTCTATAATATTTAGCCTCTGCTTGATAGCAAACCTTTATTTTCTGCTGCGAATTGCTTAGATCAAGTGTTTATTTGGCGGTACCAGTTCGGGTACCGAAGGCAATTAGTCCAAAGAACTCCTAATTCAGTCTGCACAATCGAAAATAAGGCTTTTAGATCTTTATTATTGATTTACTTCTGTATATCATTGTAAAGTGCTTGCTTCTCTTTGCGTCCGTAGTCGACTTAGTCTCGACAGATGAAGATGCCAGTTAAAAAAGTGCACCTTCGACGTCGTTATCTATTTTGTCTTGTGTCGAGGTCAAAGATGTGTCGAAGCAGCAAGGTATACTTGTGCGAGGTCTAGTGTAAGCTCCATACCTGAATATATTGTTCGAAAGTGGTTTGTGAAACTCAATAGTGATATCTTGAAAGTGGAAGATACGCTTCGTCTTGCTTGGTTATCTCAGGTCGATTCAGACTAATTGAGAGCAAGCACCTTTGAAGGATAAGAGGCTGCAAACAACTTGTGAATAGAACGAGAAAAAGATATGCAATCATATGAATATCAACAGCCATCTTCAGTTTATAAAAATCTACTCCAAAAATTAAAAGTTCATGTGTAGCATAAAAGCTGAATGAAAAACACAAAAAAACACGGCTTCACAAGTTCTCAATATCTCGCCCAGCGTGGAGCAACACGCGGTCGTGATAACCGGGTTCTACATTAAATTATTAAGCTGAACAATAAGTGAAGCCTCCACGCCGGTATCAAACAGGAAGAGAAGTGGATATCTCCGGTAGATACGCTCATGTTCAGAGCTAAGCAAAGTTCGAAAAAAAACACATTTTGTATTGGTGAGACTGAAAGTATTCTATGCACCGCGAGACACTTGAAAGACACGAGGCGATTAACAGGAATCTGTGTAAGGCGCAGTGCTATTCAACAAAATAGCCATGATAAACGAATTGAAGTTATTCTTTTCCACCAAAATAAAAGCAGGTTGCACCTGGCAAAGATTGTGAAGACTTTCTCACAAGATTTTGGGTAAGAGGTTCTTTTGCGTCCACAAATTTTTCCGACTTCGCATCTACTTTGTCCGATTAGTATTTATTAAAATATTATTATTATTAAAATAAGTTCCCAGTCGTACGTTTGAAAATGAAAAGCGTAATTAAATGTGGCTGGATGGATTGTTTAACACTAAATCTAAAGAGAAGTAATACATAAAATGGCTGAAACATGGGAGAAGGCTGTGTAGTGTGACGGTGAATACAAAATTAATTCATTTGCTGGCACAAATTCCTGCTAATGTTATTGTTTTCCTCAGCAGTTTGCGTCTTTCATAAGCAAATACGAAATGCGAATGAAAGACGACTAATGTTTCGTATACTTCCTGATGAATGAAGCTGCGTAGTATGAATGATTGCGAAGTAGAGTCAGATTAGAAGCTCAGAAATTTAAAAAAAATCAAGAATGTTAGTTGGGACAGCCGAGTATTTTATTCTTGAAAGAGTAGAACTTTCGACTAGTCATAATTTACCTGCTATGCTTATTGTCTGATGGTTTTTTGGGTATGCTTATCCGATTTACAGAGGTCTGCCGGCATATATGAGGCAACTGTCAATGGTTCGATTGCTAGCCCACGTTCGGTATGCTCATGTAAAGATGAACATCCTTAAGGTCTATTCCGATCCTGTAGAAGCGGCAGTCAAGGTAGGTCATGGAAGTTCAGCTGACTCAATCAAATTAGGTTCTATGACTAAATATAGGGCCGAAATTCGTGTGAGAATATTCTGCGAGGGGACACCACTCATTAATGAGATGGTTGCTGCAATCACACAGTCGTTATACTTTATGCATTAAAACGGCGCGACTTTCATCACGTTGCCACGTAAATCAATCAATAAAACGGTACTTTTGCTCATTGCGTTCACTAATCAACTACAGTTATCTTAAGGGTAGTAAGTCTATCATATTTCATTGAAAATATAGAAAATGAGTCAATGTCATGTTTTTTTCACTCTGTCTTTATACAGTACCTTGGGCCAAAGTTTATTCCCTTGTGGGTTCGGCCTACCCTGTATGATATTCTATTTGATGAAAACGTGAACATTATATTGTGTCAACGTTACTCACTGCAAGAAACATGACTACCTGAGTGAAGAGAAATGTCTTTCAATAGTTACCATTTGAAAGATTGTAATCGTGATGGGCCTTTTTTAGGTTCGGTGGCGTGTGGATGCATTATCAGGATTGCGAATCGTGATTCTGCTCTGGAAGTTCAATATATTAAAATATCGAGACTTTCTGAACAAAAAATCAGAGTGAGTTTACTCAACGGGTCAACTTGATTGTATTTGCGTTCTCTTTTCATACGTAGAAGACTGCAAAAGTACCATTGCATGTCCTAAGCTTTTTTGTATTTACAGCGAACAATGGTCACATTACTCTCTTACAGATAATAACACTAGCAGTGAATGAAATAAAATAATGACAAAAACAGCTTGTGGGCTCGATCTTTATAAATTTCTAGATTACAAACTGATTTCTACTTTATTTTGTGATTGTAGTTTTACTGACGGCTTTTCGATATTCTACGTGAACTCGGACGGCAAAATTTGGAAGCACGTCGTGGACAAAATGGTTCCCGATGAAGATCGCGCAGTCGTTGACACAGAAAAAGACGCTCTAGCGGCTAAACTTTCCGCCGCACTAATAGTCGGATGGGGTGGGGTTCAGGCTGTCAGTGACATGTTGTAACAACTAAGGGGTTACTAATTCTGTAAAAGCTACATCCGTCTAAAGCTAGAAAGTGATCAAGTTCCTCACTTCTTGATCCTTCCACTTCTCTTATCAAAAAAGATTACGACAACGTAACCTAATGTCGCCTTTGCGAGACTGACGTGTCTGGTCTCACAAAACCTTGTTACTCTATATATATATATATATATATATATATATATACAAACACACACACACACACAAACATGCATAACGATTGTAGCTGTGGAATATAGAAAGCTCATAGACTCTGAGCAAGCACAGAACATCAGCGTATGAGTTCCAGCTGTTTTCTGGAATTAAGGATGTTTCGAATCTAGTAGCTAAGGATCGCATAAGAAAGATCATATGTGGCTTACCGTGCACTGATTTATGATAAAAGTGAACGAGACCAGGACTTTTCAGCATGGAAAATGAACGGGTTTTCACTTCAGTGATAACGCCGGAAACGAGAGAGAGAGAGAGAGAAAGCGAGAGCGAGCGAGCGAGAGAGAGAGAGAGAGTGAGAGAAAGAAAACGCGTTGGAAATTAAAAGAACGTGTCGGAAGTCAAGTACCAATCACTGATAACGGTGGATGTCGGAAACGAAGTGTGTATGCAATAGGTTTTAATAAATTTTTATCCGTCATGCTAAATCAATATATGAGCGGTCGTCATTGTTGCCATTTCGTTATAGTTAAATAAACAATTTCTTTAAGCAAGACACATACTGTTATCAAGCTCTAAACATCTCAGATAAGGAGAGTGATAACGGCGGAGGGAATTAGTGAAGTATGATTGGCTGACGATAGTACAGCGGCGCATGCTAGCTAGGTTTAGCCTGCGCATTCCATGTTCTTTACGAGTACAGATACAAAAAAAAACTGAATAGAAACCACCGAATTCGTCATACGATTCCATATCCTTCATTATTTTTTTCTCTATTTCGTAACTAGACATTACCATCTGAATATATACTTACAGAACAAACAGGGAATGCAAATTGGTCTAAATCCTATTATTCCATATTCGCACAATAATTAATAATTCGTTTATTCCAGCGTGGATTTGTTTTTATTTATCGTCAAGAATGATTATAAATACCTAAATCAGTACATAACCACAAATCTTAACATATGAAGCAGGGTAAATAGTTTCAACTATATGACATATTGTATTAGTCCGGTGCAAAAAGGTTGAATTTATGGTTGTTGCTGTTTTGTTGTTGTATAAACTTGTGTGACTTCCAATGTCCTACTGTCATATTTCACCGGTTTCTCTATCGGAATTCTCATGGATGCAATATAACTTAAGGGCATATATAAACTACAGTAACAGAGTTACACTTATTAGACCGCAATCACTCAATACCAGTAAAGCGAACATTTTTCGAATAAAACGTTTATGTTTAAATCATCAGTTCTTTAAACAGTGTCGCCAGATGCGCTCGGTTATGTTCGTTCACAAGCGTCAGGAGGACGGCACATATTTTATACATATATATTTACACCTTTAGAAAGTGTTCATTTTACGCGTCTGGTTATTACAGTGATAAAAAAAAAAAAAATAAGAACTGTGGGCGACCGATTGTAGCTGGACGAATTGTAATACCAGTACGCAGAGTGGATGCACTTGTGTTATCGATGCATTCCGCTCCGAGCTCGGGGTATCAGCGGTCTGCTTAGCGATGGCAGTACCGTACATAACAGTCACAACATATATTTGACTTGTGATACGAAAAAAGCGGTAGTGGGGTTGAGGCTTTACTTTTATTGAGAGACGACATTAATGGCTAACAGTGTGCGTTGTAGCATTCGTTGGCAAATCAAAAGAAATAACCAATCTTCGTACTGAACAAACTAAAAGATCTTATCAAACTCCCTGCAGGTTGGCGATAGAGCGTTATTGGCTAGTACCCTAGCCCGTTTGTCCTGCGATTACCCCTTCCGATATTGATGAATCTGCAAATACACCTCAACTATACGATACTAACACCAGAATTACAAACTGTTACTTAATGCTATCGCTACAAAATTATAGGTTTATAGAGTGGCTTATTACCGAAAAGAGTTTGGTTTCGTAAGGTCTTCATTGAAATCGGCCTCTTGATATGGTAAACCAGGCCGGTTTTAACCCATTAGACTACTTCTAACGGAAACCAGCAATAACCTTTTTGAAGAAATCTGTAGGCAACATATTTGGTATTTGCATCCATGGGCCATTGAAACCGCTGAATAAAGTAGCGTAATCGATTGGCGAGGACGTGTAATCGTACTACGAGACGATGACAGTGGCTTCGTTCGTTGCCCTGCGCGATCCGTTTGCTGGAAAATGAAAGCTAGTATTTTTTGTGGCTCGATGTAAAGAGCAGTATTGCAGTAGGTAAGCACGCAGGCTGTTCATGTTTACGTGGTTTTGCTCTTGTAGAAGCCATTTTTGTTGCGGCTCTTCTACCCGATTTTCACGGAAAGCATCATTACCATCAACGTCGTTGTCATTGTCGTAATCATCATCTTCCTCACCATAATCACCAGTGCCTTTCTCGAGTTGGACAATGAATCGTCATTATTACTTTAGCTATTGCAATGCACTTCCTAATTAAGAGCATATCATGCAGGCCGAGAGGTAGTTAGAATGTGTTAATTGTTTCATGAATAGTTAGTGGTGAGAATAAAAGGCTGTTAAAAGCAGAAATTTAATTTTGATAAGCCGTTTTGTCTGGTACCGTACAGTAAAGTCTAGAAGAATAGAAAAGCGCTAGCCAACAATGTTCTAACCTTACCTATTGTTTTCTTAGTTCAACTATATCTCAAAAAGGGATACCTGTTGGGTGTCAAAAATCAAGTCTGAGAGGGCTCACAAAGCTTTCTGTCTGACTATAAGTTGTCGAAAAATGAAATAAGTAAACAGGATCGATGATTGTACGCACATAAATTAGTAGTAATTATTGTCTTGTCTATTAACTTTTATAAGAGTCCTAATGCGAGATCTAAAAGTTGGTCCAGTGATACGTAGAAGTTCTGAAAAATTTCTTGGATTCAGTTTTTGTAGTGGTTAGGTATGAACGCTATATATTCGTTGGTATTTCTTTACTGCAGTCTCAGCCTATAATAGTATGTAAAGGAAAGACTTATTTATGCATATACAGTACTTATCTATGCTCAGGTATTTTATTGCTTACCGCTGTTTTGTGAGTCATTCGCCCTGGCCTATGATAGGTAAATAAAGTTATTCAGTATTGAGTCTGTACCATCTATTTAATGTTTGGCCAGTTTTTCTGCAGTTACACCGTACTCTCGTAAGATATAATTTATCTGTAGCATGTTACAAACATCAACCTTCGAACACGAAGATATTGGTTCATTATATCGGGGCGATACGTTCTACAAACAACACATTTCATCGTAGCCTAGCAGATATACTGTCAACGGATACTTTGTTGTGTAGAACAAAATGGTGTCATATAAAGCGGACAACTGGAATGTTATAGTTTACCTGGCTGTGATTGAGCAAACTTTAGACAAGTTTTTCTTTTTACCTAGATATATTTGCTGCACCATGGCCACATTATGTGGTCAATTACGGATCGCTAGGAAGGTACTAACTGCTGGTCGGACATCTTGTCTTGATCATGTAGTTTCTTTTATGGTCAGCTGGAATAGATTTGTAGCAGTTCACGTCCATCAACGACGCAAAAATTCCTGGTTTCAGTCGAAGCTGATGCTGATGATAACGGAACAGAGTACTCAATACAAACTGCTTACCATACTTTTTATACACATACCGCTTATATTATAGTTATGACCGCTTATTTTGTGTTTTGATAGGATCTATTGTGGGCTGAAGTTGCACCTATACGGGCCTGAAGCACTATTTAGCATCGAAGCTCCTTTCGAAGCACTAATAAGACTTTTTTTGTACCTGAGACGAACGGTTCCCACGATAATCTGAAATGCTGATTAAACTCAATATTTACTTGCCGAGCGTTTGAATCGCCATTTTACTGGCTAGAAGATAATTCAATGGAAAGCATTTATGATGGAATTTTTAATGAGTGTTCTCTATATATATAAGTAAACTACCTAAAAGATTAGACATTTGTAGGACGCCCCGCAGATAGCGACTCAACGCTTTAAAATCGAGATATATCGCTATTGAATATAAATTAGACAAAATACAATTGACCATTATCTAAAGAAACTATTCAAAACTTATGCTATAAAATTAGACACGTTTATTTATTTTAAGTTTGCTTATACCATTAGAGGTAATTTCCTTCGGCTCCAACGAAACAAGTTTTTTTAATAATAATAATGTTAATTATATCACATTGATTTGAATATGTAAACGCTGCGTTGCTTTATGTAAGAATCGGCTAGTTGGTTGTCCTAGTAATAATTGTAGAACGCAACAAATATTAAACATAAATGTTAAATTCTAAACATGGATTGAATCTCATTTATTACCACCGATAGTAATCCAGTGTATTTCGGCGTCACGGTATATCTAGTGTCAGTTAGTTGAAGAATCCCTCAAACTTATTAGAAGTCGTATTCTATAACCTATTTTCAGCAAGCCAACTCATAAGACCTTTAGAATTTTTTTGGAACATAATTCTTTAAGACAGGAGTTCTTTGCCAATTAAGTGTTTAGTTAATGCCATTACAAAAGCCCCCCTTTTTTCTTTAGTTATTCTTATAAGCCGCTATATATCTGGGCATCATTGAACTTGTCTATCGTAATTCTTACCTCAGTACATTTTTATGTGTGCCATAATTTTAATTATCTATCTATAAAGTTTTTATAGTTAAGGAACATAGTGAGACCTTTATGAATGGATACATATTGATCATCATGGCTTAGCTCGCTAGCTAAGTATTGCGTCGGCTATTTGTATATAATATTGAGTACTACTTCTACTCTCAGCAAACCTTAGACAAATTTTGAAGCCAGCGCTTCAAACAAAACAAAAACAAACTGTAGAATTAGTAGTCCGTTTAAAGAAAGTAGTACATGCAGTGTCTCGCATGGTTGATCAACGTTATTTTTGCTAATACTGGTTATGTTATTTGGCTAGTTCAGTAATTCCAATTAGAACAAAAAAACGTAAAACTATTATATCTTCTTGATAATACAATAAACTTTTTGCCTGAAATCTCGCAACTAAAAGTAACAGATTTTGTTCTAAAAGAGATTAAGCTAAACGAAGCTTAAATAAGCAGAAATATTAAATATATTACTAAATAATGCTATTCAAATATCGTTTTCTATACAAGAAGGAGTGATTAGCTACGTTATTTTAATAGTAGGACACTTGCCGCCATTAGTCTTCGTCTAGTTGAACCGTATTCCGTAAACCGGAAAAGGAGATATCCCATAGAACACGGCCAGCAAAATCTTTGGTAAAGTAGCTCGGTGGATGGGTCGTAATCATTTCCATATGGCGCCTAAAAAATGAAGGTCCTATACCTAACAGAAGACAGGAAATGAAGACAACAAAATTAATCTTGTCGCAGTGGATCGGCCGATAGAAATGAGAAAAGCAAACTTTGGTTCAACTTTGAGATTAAACGAACCTACTCACGTTAAATGGTTAGCGATGAACGTAGCAGGTCGTCTTAGGCCTGGCTTGCATCCTGCCGATTATTAATGAAGCGACG